TTTTTGGTTTTTTTTCTGTCTATGAAGTTGCTGTTTATTTTTATTTTTTGTTTATTTTTTTTTTTTTTTGCGTTTTTGTTTTTTTACAAGGTCGTTTTTCTCCTTCGGGAGAATGGTTTGTTGGGACGCGGTCACACCACAAGTAAAGTACAGAGATGGGTAACGAGAGAGAGAGAGAGAGACACACACTTCAAAGCCCCCCATTTGGTCAATCCGAGATCACTTAAAAATGGCTGACCTCCTAACAATATGTACAAAAATATAAAATGTAAATAAAAAATACAAACAAATTCTCCTTTAAAGTATTTTTAAGAAAGAAAGCAGGGCCTTGAAGTTTTGGTGCTGGGGAAAGAGGGGTTCTCGCCCCACTGATGGGGGGTGGGGTGGGGAATCTTTTCGGGCATTCGTTCCGAGTGGCGTCGGCATCGTGGGCAGGTTCGCTCTACTTGGGGAGGGTGACCACGGTGGGGGGGTTGCGACGGGACGTTGAAAGTGAACAGGTCGCGCTGGCCTTTTGTTTGTTTTTCTCCTTATTTTAAAAAATATATATATGTGCTGCCTAGTCATCTTCATCGGTTTTCTGCTTCTTGGGATCGACGTCCTCGTCCTGGGGAAGAGCAGAGGCGTTAGGGGGCTGGGACCTTTGGCGCTGCAGCAACGGGTGCCAGCTACAAGCCTTGCCAGGCGGCACGGAAAGTGTGGATTTCACGTGTGTGGTGGGGGGGGAAATCCCACCAGAGCCCCTTTAAGCAGGTAAGGCGGGTGGAGCTCTCATCCCTTCGGTCTTGGCTATACTTGGGATCAGCCCTGCAGCTGCATGGGTAGACAGGCTGAGAGCCTGGGCCAGCGAGAAGGGATTTAGCATTTGCTCCGGTGGCAGGGGTTTAGGTCTCCTCTCCCTCCAGGGATAAGGAGTTAATAGCACAATATCTTCATTGCCAGCCTGTGCCTCTCCATCCCACGGCCCCCCACCAGTGAGCAGATCCCTTTGAAACACAGGCCTGCCCACTGCAGCACTAATGCATCCATACTGCCCCCTGCGGACCTTCTGACTCGGGTCTGCAGCTCGAGCTGCGTCCACACTGCAAAATGACAGGGCTTGGCCCCCAGTCACAGTGGGAAGCGGGCTGACCCACCCACCCCCGCCCCGCCCCACAGCAGGGTGCTAGGACCTGTGCTTGCTGAGAGTCGAACTGACGTATGTGTAACAGAACTGGGGTTTGGGCTCAAATCGGAATCAGAACCCAGGCTGAACGTGCTGTGTAGACATACCCCTGGCTAGCAAGTGAGACCCCCCCCCCACCCAGGAAGCACCCACTTCACACCCCCCCACCCACACACACAGGCTCCCAGCATTTCCTTCCTTTTGGTGTTTGGCTGGAAACCAAGTTCACGCCGAACAGTCAGAACAGACGCCGGAGCCAGGCGCGAGGGGAGGAGGTGCAGCATGGAAAGCCACCCAGAGTTCAGGCAAGCGGCTCCTCCCCCCTCCCCACGCAGCCTCTCTAGCAGAGACAACTACTCTCTAGCCGAGTGCTACAGCTCCCACGCTCATCGGGACTTGACAAATTGAGGACAATCCTGATGCACCCCACCTACCTCGTCATCCTCAGCTGCCCGTTTGCCTGTGGGTGCGTCGCCTTCCTCATCTTCATCGCCGTCCTCTTCCTCACCTGGGGGTGGGGTGGGGTGGGGCAGGAAGAACAAGGAACGTGAGCCTTTGGTGGCAGCTTCACGCTGGCCCAGCCTGACGTGGAAAGGACACGGGGGCTGGCAGGCAGGCGAGGAAAGCGCCAGACTAGGCAGAGACCCGCTGGAACGGGAACCCGACCCTTACGGGGACAAACTCAGGGCGTGTCCTCCTGCTCCTCGGACGTTCAAGGGCAGCGCCAGCTCTTTGTGCGTGTTGCCCAGTGCCAGGCTGCGCGGGCCCCCTCCAGACAGCCAGGGACTCGTGGCACAGCGCGCATCTCCACTGCCACGCCCAGAACAGCCCTCCCACCTCCGCTGCAAGGGCTGGCACACGCTGCCCTCGGCTGGCATCAGACGCCCTGGGGCTCGTGCCGCCAGACACCGCATCAGCGCGTCTTCCGTGCAGGGGTGGGACGAGAAGGGTGGAGATTACTACAAAAGACGGCAGCTGGGAATAGGAGACGGGGCCGCTATACGACTAGCTCAAAGTCAGCTGCATCCTAGCTGAGCAGTTACCACCTGACAGCTGCTTGGGGCCCCGATGCCGATCGCCGCAGGTGCCTGGGCTGCAAAGTCATCATCGCCCGGCCCTTTTCTTGGGGGGACGCAAGGGGGGTCTCAGCAGAGGGGCCAAGAGCTGAGTGGGCCACCTGGACGCTAGAGAAGGTCCCCTCCACATCTGGAGAGGGGCTCATTGGCAGAGGCAGGGAGGGAGCCCAGTCCTTCTGGGGATAAATAGACTGACGAGCACCACATTTGCTTAAAAAAAATAAAGCTTTTCCTAGCGGCTGCTCTAACTGCTCCAGATTACTTCTGCTTCTCTTCGCAGCGATTAGTCCGTCTTTAATGAGTTAAGAGAGCCAGAACACATTAGTTCTGAGTCAGAACACATTCTAATTATCAGAACGGCCAACAAATTCCGCTGACAGGCCGCAGCCTTCCAGCAAGGGGGGAAGAGAGTCAGACTTGACCCACTTTGAGCTCAAATAGGCCAGTGGATCAGAACAATGTCGCCTACTGCGCCCGAGTCCAGCCGGGAGGGGAGTGACCAGCCTAAGTTCTTTGCATAACGGGAGGCCCTGCTAAACGGACAGCGTTCAGGCCAGTAAGCTGGCTTTAAATGTCACCACGAGCCGCACGTATAGACAGCGGGGGATTAGGGTCATCCACCCGGCACAGCCCCCCCTCCCCCCAGCATACGCTCAGACCCAGCATCGCCCCACCCTCTGGAGCTGCCAGATTAGCTGCAAGTGATGGCTCAACGCTTCGCCAGCGAGCTCACGCACCGGGTTACTTGGGTGGATCATGTGACCCGCAGTCAAGCTGATTGGGGGCATATTTAGCTGCCTGAGCGTCTTTAAGCAAAGCAAATAATGGGATGGGGATGGTGGGGAGGGATCTTTAAAAACGGATTTGATGACTTTGGGCTGAAGTTTAGTTCCAAATATTTCAAACCAGCAGAAGGCAGGAGAGTCCCTGGCAGCCCTTACTGGCTTTTCTCTCTCCTTTGCAATGCCTAGGCTGCTGGGATCAGCCCCTTAGGAACCTCTTCCAAGCAGAGATTACCTGGGGCTAGGCTAGAAAGACACGAGTTATCCCTCCTCGAATCCCGGAGAGCGCCTGCCTCTTCCCCCATGCCAGGCGCTAACCAGGGAGCAGGGGTGCAGATGGCTCAGTGCTCCGAATCGTAGCCATGCTTTTTGGGGGGTGACAGCAGAGGGGGCTGCATCACGCTCACCACCACGGTATCTAAGCAACGCCCCACACCCACAGCGAAGCCCAGTTATGCAAACCACCCCGAAGTAGCAGGCAGCCCTTCGAGGGTTTCTTGGAAAAAAAACCCCTCCATCCTGCAAGGCCGAGGCTGCTGGTGCATCTCCAGGCTGCTGGTGTATCCAGGAACCAGTTCCTATACTGAGAGTGCCGTGTCCCCCTTTCCTCCCTGCTGCCAGGAAGAGCCCAGACTTCCCTCTATTCAAACAGGGGCTTGCTTAAAGGCCTTCAATTCCCGGCCTCAAAACCCCACACCCAGCACAACCCACTGCTGCCGCCCAAGATTGCAGGGGATTAACCAGGACTAGCTAATCAAAGGACTTGTTTCAGCATGGTTTGCTAATAATGGTTCGCAACCTCCTCCCAGCCTTAATTGGGATTAAAAATAGAGATTTTTATTCAGCTAAATGGGTCTTGGACAAGGAGCGGGAGAAGCTGAGAAGGGAAGCAGGTAGGGAAGTGACTGGTGGTCCACTGACGCCCGCCTGCAGGCTGGGTTACGCTAGGAAACCAGAGGGAGATGGGAGCTGCAAGGGGAGACATTTCAAAAAAAGTTTAAATGAGCCATTTGCTCCCGTTCTAGCTGCAGATAAGACGCGCTGCAGGAAAGAGCTAACGGTTCATGCATCTGCTTAAGTGGAACCAATTGCTTAGCATGAATCATTAGCCTGGGAAGTGAGTATGATTGAGCAGCACGTGTGTGGACTGCACGAGAGCGGCATCGACCTCCTATGCGCTCTGCGCCTCACCTGCCCGGCAAAGGGAGACCCCCAGAGCCCTGGCTCATTCCCCGGCCAGTCAGACTGTGGCTTCGCCCGCCACGTGCGGCCGACGTCGGTTTGCCGTTTCGCTGGTACCGGCACAGCTCCTGGGATTCAGGGCGGGTGTTTCAACCACGCGCCACGAGCTGAAGTGTTTACGCAGGGCCTCTGCACTACGCAGCATGGCCAGAATGGGGAATGATCTGTCCTCAACCTGTTAGAACAAACTCGGGCTGATTTCACTGGCTGGCAGATCGGGGCCGCTAGGAGGCAGGGGAGGGACCATACAAGGCTGGCTAGACCGTCCGTTGCAGCAAGCAGAGAACTGCCCAGAGCAGCCACAAGGGGGAGATGCTGCTCCTGGCACTCACTGGCCACGTGCAGTAACTCAAGCCTCTTGCTAAAGGGCCGCATTTAAGAGCCGGATTTGGCTACTCTAAGGTGAGAAAGCAGGGTGAAAAATTACCATCACCCTCTTCCTCCTCGTCCTCTTCTTCGCCACCTTCTTCTTCCTCTTCGTCTACTTCGTTGTCAGCCTCCTGCTCTCCGTTTTCCTCGTTCTCCTTGTCAAGACAAGACACTCACTTAAAAAAAAAAAATGCATGGAGGGAAATCGCTCGCCTCCCCATCCCATCCCATCCCCACCCACACATACAGAGCCGCTGCCTGAGATTGAGCGATCTAGGAACCCACCAGCAAGTGCAGCTGAGGAGACAGGCCCCCGCCTTGCTCCCCCCTCAGCTTTCATAGCAGGTGCCCACTGGCTGACAGGCAAGCTATGTGTGTTTTCACTCCAAGGCTGTTCCCCGTTCTGTCTACGCTTCATGCAGAAACAAAGATAAAGGACTTAAATTTGATGGTAATGCGGCGGCTGCATCTCGAGCCTCAGACAGGAATCTAAAGTCTATTGTGACATCGTGTCAGATTAAAAGATGGCATTGTCAGTTTCCCTCTGGCAGTTTTTAGAAAAACAAAAAAAACAAGCAAACCCCAGATTTGCTTGTGTATTCGGCTTTTCCCACCCATCTGTTTGCCACATTTTCAAACCACACGATGGCCTCTAGAAGGAGGCGGCACCGAAGACACGCATTCTCTGAGGGATTTAAGAGAGCTCCCGCCACACCTCCTGTACACCTGGAAATCACCCGCGGGCTGGAGGCTTTCACGGACTCTGAAACCGTAGCAGCATTTCACAACGGGGTTACACAGCAGAGGGCTGCTGCATGGAACGTTTCCTCCTCCCAAAGGATGCCAAGCAATGAGTCCGCAGGAACATCAGCGAGCAAAGGATGGTCTAGCGATACTTACAGCGTTGCCGTTGGCTGGTGCATCTCTGCCATTTTCTGTCTCTTCCACAACTTCTTTCTTCTCTTTTAGATCCTTAAAGGAACAGAAATAACCAATGAGTCATCAGGACTCCAGCCTACAATCCTCATGGTAGGAAACTTATAAGGAGGGGTGGGGGGGGGAAAGGTCTGGGAGACAATTACCCTTCACATCCCTTGCACGAGCAACTTGTTCTGGGCAGTTGTTGCGAGGGTTGGAACCAGGGAGAAATTTTAAGTCTGTATTACTAGACTTTATTAAAGCAAAAGGTACTTGGTCCTAAAAGAAGTGGCTACATTTAACTTAGGAACTCCCAGGATCTTTGAAACGTAAAGAGCTGGTCTCCTGCGTCTGCTTTGCAGCCAAAGCATTGGCTCATTTCCCACCTTATCGTGTTCAGGGGAAACGGCTGCATTCCCACTGATAGCCCTTTGGCGCACGCTGAATTACAGAATCAGTCACCCCAGGGTCTGCAGACTCGCACAGCCACTTGCTGCCTTCACAACAGGGAAGGGTAGAGAACTGAGCCCAAATTGTGATTAGCCGAGCCTGTGGTGTCTCTCCCAACCGGCTTGCTCTTACTTGTAGTCACAGAGTGGAAACTCCAGGATAAATCTCAAGACTCTTAGTCAAACAGCAGGGAGATGGCTATTTTTTCCACATTACTCCAAGGAACATGGCGCCGTTCGATTGAACACTGCTAGGCCAGTTCACATCGGAACCGCAAGCACAGGCAGGCGAGAGCAAGCGCCCGTATGTTTTTGCTATTGATCACTGTCAAGACGTCATGCCAAGTCACTAGGCAAACAGGCTGAAAGGATCCAACTTGCTGTTCCCGCACATGGCTAAAAAGAACGCGTCTGCATCATCCTCCCCTTATGTTACTGCATCAGCTGCAGCTAGGTCTTGCTCGCCACGAGAGAAGTTATTACCCCTGCCAAGGAAAGTGAAGAGGCCTTTCAGCAGGGCTGCGGGGCAGCCAGGCAGTCTGCCTTGAACAAAGACCATGAGGTGTTGGAAACTTTTTGGCAGCTTCCTACTCCACTGCAGCAGCAAACCTGTGTGTTTTTTTGGTTTTTTTGGCGGCCTCTCCGCAAGCCCACTCAGCCTGGATGGAAGCGTGTCACTTTCACTCTCAGAGTTGGCGTCACTTCCTCGTGGCAACCACCGTCAGTGTCACCGCATGGCCAGCCCCGATTAATACGGCCATCTCTCTCTTTTGATTTGGATTCAAATAACCTTTGGATTATTCGGTCAACAGCAAAGGCATATTAGAACAGTGGACTACTTAAGCCTTTCAGATACCCAGGCATCTGGATAAAGCAAGCAAGGATTAATAAAGTCTGACTGCATTATCCCAAGGCATCCAGCCTATGCCCTAGCCCTGGACGCCTTGAAAGGGCGTTCTCTGCAATACCAAGCACTGGGGTTTATTACACCTGTGGCTGAGACCCTAGACAAGTAAATATTCTGTTCAGAAGTGCAGATCTACTTCCTCCTTCCAGTAACATTTGAATCCCATGCAAATTGCAGTTTCTCTGAACCGACCAACTGCATCACAGTTTTTACATGATCTCCGACTCCTATCAGTCATTACTGGAGGAGTGAGATGCTAGCATTTAACCTCATTCTTATTTGCTGCCACGCCATAACTACTTAGAGCCAGCACACAATTTTAAACTGACCTACAAGGAAATTCTAAGATACCCCAAGTTTAACACAGAAGAACTGAAATAGGCAAAATTTCCAAGTCACCAGTTACTATGTTCATCATCCTTTTTGAGACGTTATGCGTAAAACCCAAGTGGTTCTTATGGCTAAGGAGGACCAGTAATGTTATTACTAATTTTAGTTTAATAAATCCGAGGCACCAGCCGTCAGTGTTCCATTTAAGATACTTTCAGTTCAATTATAATTAAGTTACCAGGCCAGGCTTATTTGCATAGCGACGGTACTCTGCTAGAAATACTACAACTTTTTCCATTCCTAAGAACGAATCCAATGCAAATAGACAAATTTGTACCAGACTTCAGATGAGGAGTCAATGTAGCAGTATTACTTTAGTTTTAATGCTTTGATGGAGCCTCCAATTATAGGTGTGGCAGGGCTGTTTGTCCATAAAATAGCAGTGATGTTTAGTCATAGGGAAGCCCTACCTTCCACCTTCTCCTACTCCCAAAAAGTGAACTTGACTATTCCATTTGGCACAGTAGTAATGGACATTAGAAACCGTCACAACCAACTGCATTCATAAGCCATGTCATAGCTAATCCCCAGGTCAGACAGATCAAATAAAACAGTCAGGACTGATCATTTAAAAGTGGCCTAAAATATATATATATATATATGACCAGCAAACTGGTCCCAGGTACTTGTCGAATATTTGTTCGTGTGATTTGTTGCCCTGCTGCGGGAGACCCACCTGCCCCTTTAGTTCTAGCCACACCATTCGATGGCAGCGGTTTGCATGGACTCCAAGGTGCGATGGATTTTAAGGGGCCTCAATTTTCAGTGAAATCAGCAGTTTGCAAAAGAAAGTTGAACATTCCCAGACTTCCAAGCGAACTGACAGCTGCATTTGCTTTATTGATTGATTGCCAGTCTTCTGCGATCCCCAAAGCCCACCTGCAACCCCCAGTGATCCGAGTCAGTCAATGGGGCTTACTGCAGCTTCAAAGGGCCCTCCCGCCAGCAGGGGGCGCCGGCTCCTCAGCGCCACGCGCCCTGCCCCAGTTCAAACCGCGCGCCACTCTCCGCGCTTTCTGATTGGCCCAGCGCCGGCGCGCCGGCCCCGCCCTTCGCGTCTTGCCGGGAACTGTAGTCTCCGTGGGGCCCTCCGGCGCAAGGTCGCCCGCCGGGAGAGAACTCCAACTCCCATGGGGCCCCGCGCGGGCGGGCGGAGCGCGCAGAGGCAGCAGCACGTGGTGATGAGCGAGCTCTGTTGCGAAGCTGGGGGTGGGAGGGCGGCGCCGAGCAGCGCAGGAGGAGCCGCCGCCCGGGAGCCGAGGCGGCAGCTCTGGGACCCCTCCCCCACCCGGCGGAATAAATCTTCAGTGTCTTGTTTATTTCAGTGTCCCGATGTGAAGCGGGCGGGACCCGCGCCCTTGATCTGCTCCCCTGCCGGACCCCCATGGGGATTGCGGGGGGGTCCTGCTGGCCAGAGCCCCAGTCACACAACGGGGGCGGGAGGGAGGTGGACTCAACGCCCCACCCGTACTGGTGAAGGTGCAAAGCGCCGACCCCCTCCAGACCCGGGTCCCCGCAAGGTTTGGGGGTGCATCGGCTGGGCCTTTCCCCCCTCCCCCCCGGCCGTAGGGGCAGCTCGCACCGCGGGGGCCGCTAGCCCAGCGCCGGGCGAGGGTCCACCCCCCCCACCCCCCAGAAGTGCAGTCCCGCGGGGGAAGCGCTGGGGGCTACTACACAAATCCCGGAGGGATGGGGGGACAGCGGGGAAGTTTCCCCCGCCCCCAAAGGGCAGGGGAAGGTTAATTAGATTCTCTTCCCCCCCCCCGGATCCCTCCGAAACAGGCTGCTGGAGGGGGAGCGCGAGCGGGGGAGCGAACCCACCCCTAGTGCATCCGCTGGGCGGGACCCCCTGGCCGCGGCCGGGACCCGAGCGAGCCAAAGTTCAGCAAAGGGGGGAGGGGGCCGAAGGGAAACGGGGGGTGGGAAGCGCTCCGCGCGGCGGGGGCTGGGGTCCGGGGACTCTCGAATCGCAGAAGCGGGAAAACAGAAGTGAAAACGAAATTTGCAAGCAGGATTGTGGGCTGCTGACTCCCGTGGCGGCCCCGCGCTTAGCCCCGCAGCCCGTAACTGGCTGTAGCGCCTGCCC